TGAAAAATGAAAAATATAGTACAGGATTGAAGTAAAGTCACAGTGTATATATATATATATATATATATATATATATATATATATATATATATATATATATATATATATATATATATATATATATATATATATGCTCCTGAAATTATAGTTTTTATATTAAGCCTTTGGGAGAAAGTACCAACATATAGTGGTGGACTACCAGTAAACCACTTTTTGTACTATTAACACTTAAATAGTCCCGAAAAAATAAAGCTGAAAAACCAAACTTAAATATTCCTAGGCCTAGTATAGTACATGTATGTACTATATTAGGCCCAAGATAGCGTGACTTAGGCCTGGGATTACTAGGAGAGGTTAGATTAGGTCTTATATTTATGTCGCTGTTAAAGAAAAGTTTCTGGTTTTCCAGATTCAGTGATATCTCCTATTCCTTCGTCCTCTCCCTTCCCTTCTTTATCTGTTCCATTCTTCCCCTTTCTCTCGCTCTCTCCCCTCTGATCATCATCTCTTCCCATTCATAATATACAATATGACGGAGTCCCGAAATTTATTTATGTGTTAAATATTTTTTTAATATTTTTTTAGAAATATTTTATATAGAAATATTTTTTTCTGATAGTGAAAAAATCTTCGGATATCTGAACGAATATTTCACACTTGACCAGAATTTAATCAGCAAGAATTGGGTTGGGGGGGGGGGGGTGAGAAGGGGGAGGGGTGAATAATTAATAATATTTCTTAAGAAAATCAGTAGAAACCATGAGGAGGATTCGAAGGAGAATTCGAACCCACACACTTGGTACTCCCAAGCACAAGTTCGAATCCTTCTACATGACTCTTAGTGATTTTCTCATCGATACTTCACGTAAATGTGCTTTCATTGTGTAATATTTCTTAAATCATTTAAGCCCTACATCGACCAGCCTATGTCAGTCCCATACCGCAGACCATTTCCCGTGTAAAGTTTGGTTAGGGTAACCCCAAGTGTCTGACCTTCAATTTTCAACAGACAGACAGACATTCTCCCATATATACTACAGACATTGTATTTCTTTGCGAATAGTATCTGCAGATTATATTATACCCAAGTATGCTGTTTCACTGAGAGATATATCAGAACACACAGAGATCACACTAACGTGATGCATCAAATGAACAAATCCACAAGGGCAGTGACGAGGATTCGAACCTCGTCTCTCAATCAGATTAATCAGAATTTTCACCAGATTTTTACGTATTTAAAGTTCACCTGTTTTCAGCATAATGCTTGAGATCCTCCCTTCAAGTACCTTAATTCCAGGCGCCGTATGAGTGATGGTAGATTCTGAGGGATTTGTTGGGAGGTGGGAGCCACTACCTCGCTTAATTAGTTTATTTCCCCCCTCACATGCGTCTCTCTGTCCCCCACACCCCCCCCCCTCCCTCGCTCCCTCCCAGCTCCTACCTGAAGCTTGACCCTTACCTGAGAGAGGCCGACCTGAGCTGACCTGCCTGGAACCAATATACTGCTTTCCAATATATATATATATATATATATATATATATATATATATATATATATATATATATATATATATATATATATATATATATATATCCCTTTTCCTAGCTCCATATCTTGACCCCCACATCCAGGCAAACACACACACCCACACGCCAGTTGATTGACAGTTGAGAGGCGGGACCAAAGAGCCAAAACTCAACACTCGCAAGCACAAATAGGTGAGCACACACACACACACACACACACACACACTCACACTCACACTCACTATTCTCTCGTCCACGCTCCCAGTCCACATCATATATCCTATCCCTTATACAACAATCAATTCTTTAGAAACTTGTGCAAAGAATCATTCAGAACCTTGTATACCACATATGTCAGACCAATCCTGGAGTATGCAGCTCCAGCCTGGAGTCCATACCTACTTAAATCTCAAGACAAAGTTAGACAAGATTTAGAGGTAGGCCGCCAGACTAGTCCAAGATCTGAGGGGCATGAGTTACCAGGAAGGCCGCCAGACTAGTCCAAGATCTGAGGGGCATGAGTTACCAGGAAGGCCGCCAGACTAGTCCAAGATCTGAGGGGCATGAGTTACCAGGAAGGCCGTCAGACTAGTCCCAGATCTGAGGGGCATGAGTTACCAGGAAGGCCGCCAGACTAGTCCAAGATCTGAGGGGCATGAGTTACCAGGAATTTTGTTTTTAAATTTGGGGGTTTTGGGCTGTTTTACACTGTGCTAAACCTTTGTCCTAAAATGTGCCTTCGGTTTTGTGAATTTTTTTTTTATATTTATGTTCTTAATTTCTCACACTCTCTTTACTCCTATTTGTCATACTTCTCCCTAAATCGTTCTATCTCGTTTATTTTCGACCAAAACGTTTATGCATTATCAATTTAATATGAAGACTTTCAGCTTGAAATCATTATATTTAATTTATGCCCATAACCAACCAAAAATACTTATTATCAACACGAGAAAAACATCAAAATCAACTTGAAATCATCAAAATCATCATGAAAACATCATATTCATCTTGACATCATCATCATTTATTTGAAATCATGATCAAGAGGAAAAAAACATCATAACAAGAAATCATTATAGTCATCATATGCACAAGAGCAGTACGTTATAGTCAGCTTGTACATCAACATTAGCATCGTGAAGAGTTAGGTATTGCAGGAGAGTTGTTTGTAGCCATCAACACTACTGACCTCTTGTGACCTCTTGTGACCTCTAATGACCAAGGATCGAGTCCAGTTGATTGAGTGGTTGTCGTTTCAGCCGTTCGTGTGGGCTAAGTATATATTGAGAGAGAGAGAGAGAGAGAGAGAGAGAGAGAGAGAGAAAAAAAAAAATGTTTTGGGATGGAATAGAGTCGATCAATAGTGTTGGCTGCTTGCGTTGACCTAGTAGAGTCAATACAGTGGCGTTGACTCAGTAGATGAATCAGTAGATGAATCAGTGGCGTTGACCCAGTAGATGAATCAGTGGCGTTGACCCAGTAGATGAGTCAATGGCGTTGACACAGTATCATCAACCCATTGAACCATCTGAGACAAGAAGACAGACAGATACATATACAGAAAGGTAGATCAACAGTTTAACACGGGTGGTACGCGAACAAGGGGACACAGGTGGAAACTTAGTACCCAAATGAGCTACAGGGACGTTAGAAAGACCTTTTTCAGTGTCGGAGTAGTTAATAGATGGAATGCATTAGGCAGTGATGTGGTGGAGGCTGACTCCATACACAGATGTAGATATGATAGAGCCCAATAGGCTCAGGAACCTGTACACCAGCTGACAATAACTGGTGTTCATCATAAGATCTAAAACACAAAAGTTAAATTAAAATTAGCCAGCAAAACCAAGAACTCTATACTGGAGAGGATTAGACACTACAATATATATAAAGTGAGACTAGTTACAAACATAAGAAAATAGTGATATCGGATAGTGATATCTTGGCTTGGATACTGATATCGTTTAAGACTGGCTTACCACTATCCAAGCTAAAATTCTCAGAGATTAGAAAGTATTATAACGAGAGGAAACATTCTCTGTTGGAATCCAATTGTAGAATCCTAGACACATGGACGAATGTTCAGTCGCATTTATGACTACTGGAAGATGCAGGGACGACGACGTTTCGGTCCGTCCTGGACCATTCTCAAGTTCGACTTGAGAATGGTCCAGGACGGACCGAAACGTCGTCGTCCCTTTACCTTCTAATGTGTGGTCTGGTCAACATACTTTAGCCACGTTATTGTGACTCCTCGCCTGCATATGACTACTGGAATCTTTGTGTATCAGACAGCTGCGGCCTCTGCTAAATAATAATATTGGTTCAGATGCTCAGTTGAATGCTGTATTTTAAACCTTTTGTTTTTAGTAAACCTTTTGTTTTCATTTACAGTTTACGGAGAATCTCATTATTATATGTTTTAGTTTCCCCTGATTTGTGTTGCTGACAATTCATTTTGAGTGTTGACGTTTCTTCTTTGTTATATTTGTTTAATTAGGACATTTGATATCAAATTTTGTTATCAGTTTTGTGTAATATTAATGTTTCTTATAAAATATTTAAGTCGTAATCTACAAGTTGATTTTAATTGTTTGTTTTTGTATAAATTTTCTGAAAGTTTGTAGTTATTGTTGTAATTTCGAGTTAGTCTTGGGTAGCAATGTTAACTATTATCAAATTTAGCTTCAGTTACTTTACGTAAGTTAAACTGTGTTTTGTTATGTTTATAACTGGTATTACTTAAATATTCATTTTTGTACGTAATCTTATCTAGCATAGAGTTCTTTGCTGGCTAATTTTAATTTGACTTTTGTTATATAGATGTGATGATGAATACGAGAATTGTTCTAAAATTTATGAATTTTTTTTATTTAAAGGTAAAGAAGAATTTTAATAAAATGCCATTTTCTTTTATTCTAAATGTTAGCCATTTCTATTTGTCTATTTAATATGAAATTAAGGTTCTCGAAGGGAACATCTATCTTGAATAGATGTTCAAGAGAGTTTATATATATATATATATATATATATATATATATATATATATATATATATATATATATATATATATATATATATATATATATAATAATAATAAAAAAAAGGGGGTGGTAGGAGAAGTGAACACTCTTTCGTATTCAGAGTTAAATGTCAAGTTTTTCCCTGAGTGCTCTGTGTTCCCTTCTCTGAGGCTGTGGGTCCCTATAATTGCACCAGTGGTGGTACCCCCCTATATATATATATATATATATATATATATATATATATATATATATATATATATATATATATATATATATATAATAGAGAGAGACAGAGCCTCCAGGTGTTATGTATACATATAATGCCATCAGGGGCACTATACTCAATATAAGACATATAACACATTCTTGTCGAACCCCCGAAACGCCTGTGCGTGTACCATGAGTCTACCCCGCCACTCAACCACCTGTTCTCGCCCTCAGGAGGAAACAAGACGAGGTTCGGGTGCTCGAGGACACCATACGCCTGCGCTCCGAAGTCCAAAGAAAAAAGGGCTTGGAACTGGAGGCTACCTGCCAAATCTGCCTAAAGACCAAGTTTGCCGACGGTGTGGGGCATATGTGCAACTATTGCAACGTCCGCTGTTGTGCCAGGTGTGGTGGCAAAGTCTCGCTCAGGTCGAACAAGGTGAGTCCAGTGTTGTTAGTGTGTAAGTGATACAAGAGCGCCTGCCAGAGGTTGACTGTAACTCAAAGGGGGGGGGGAAAGAAAACGGGAAAAGCAAGGGGGTGATAGCGACAGCATTCAGAGCTACTGAACGGGACTCCATCTTACATAAACCAAGCTCGATTCTGCCTTAGAGGTCATGCCGTGCGACTCCGGGTTCAGCACGCCATGGGAGCATGCATCCTAGAGGGCAGTAGGGTGACGGAGGTTAAGTTATTCTGTCGCCAGGGGATAGGAACTATCCCCACCCAAACACCAGGGGCTAACGACTATCCCACCCAAACACCAGGGGCTAGTAACTATCCCACACAAACAGCAGGGGGGCTAAGAACTAAGTTGTTATAGACAAAATAGGAGTAACTGGAGACGGATTAATAGGAGCGGGATACGTAATAGGAGGAATAGGAGTAACATGCGGATACGAAGAGAACACATAATAGGAGAATTTGAAGAGTAGGATTAATAAGAAGAGTTGGATTAATAGGAGGTAGGGGATAGAATAAAGTATTAATAGGAGTAATTTGATGGAGTAAATATAGGAGGTGGAAGAGGAGGTGGAAGAGGAGGTGGAAGAGGAGAAGGAAGAGGACACATCATTGTCACACAGGACACGTGTGTCGGGATTCCCTCTGATCAAGACACTTTCTATTTCCTCTCTTGCAACCCTTCTCTCCCACCCCCCCCCTTCCCTCTCCTCCCCCTCCCCTTTATCCCACACACAATCCCCCTCCTTCCATTATCTCTCACCATCTTTATCCTTCCCTCTCTCACCCCCCCCCCACTTTCTCTCTCTCTCTCACCTACTCTAGGTCTAACTGTTGGCAATATTTTAATACATATGATAACATTAATTTGCATTTTTATATATGACAAAAATATATATTCATTTTTATTAGGCTTTTCAAAAGGATAGTTTATTTCTTTTGTCTCTTTCACACTTGTATTTCGTTATTAAGTTACGCTGAAATGCAATTATTTGCAAAATAGCCCAAAAACACCTAACCAAACTGACAATAATAGGCCAAGCCTCGTTATCATCTCAAGATAACCTCAAGAAGATACACACAAACACACTGTGACGGGGCCAGGGAGCCGAAGCTCAACCCCCGCAAGCACAACTAGGTGAATACATATTAACAGAGAATAAGGAACAGCATAACTAATTATAGAACAATGGGCAAATATCAGAACAACACGAAAATAGAACTGAGGGGGGAAAGCACCAAGCCATTACGACTATATAGCACTGGGAAGGGGGCCAGGATAAGGATTTGAGATCGGAGGGAAGAATGAATGGTGCCCAACCACTTGGACGGTCGGGGATTGAACACCCGACCTGCACGAAGCGAGACCGTCGCTCTACCGTCCACCCCAAGTGATTGGAGAAGCGACATATTTGTTTTTTTTCTTTTCCTATAGGGTGGTAGAAGGGAATAAAGTGGTCTGGCGGTTCACACTTAGTATACATGGAACTGGATATGGTGATCTTAACATCCAAAGACAACTTTTATTAGATAATTATTTTGATTAAAGTGTTGTACACACTAACACAGTGTATATTTAAAGATGTAATTCATTCCTTTTGACGGGGACAGGAAGCCTTCCTTCAGCCAGCTGAAGGAAGGAAGGAAGCCAGGCTTAGGCCTGCTTAACCAGGCGTAGGCCTGCTTAGCCAGGCGTAGGCCTGCACAGACCAACAACCTTCCCCCTCAACATTTGCCTATTCGCGCACCTATTTTTCACCTAGTTGAACAGTGGAATTAGGTGAAAAAAACCCGTGCTCAACCGTTTCTGCCCTCGGGAGATTCATCCTAAGTCCCTCGAGTGCGTGCCAAGGACGCAGACCACTGCGCTACAGGGCAACAATGACAAAGTTGAGAAAGAGAGATAAACATAGAGAATAAGCTGACGAATCATTCAAGTTGTCTATCAAATTCCCAACGACGTGGAAATTATAGGATTTAAAACCATAATGGAAAGTAAATTATTTTTATTTCATCCCGTAAAAAAAAGGGACTTTGGCAACATGGACAAGAGAAGAATTTTTATGTAAATTACCCATGATATTTACATGATGAGCATTTACATGTTGATTTACATGATGAGCAGATGGGTAGATGAAGGTTTGAGCAGAGCACCAGGAGCTGACGACCATGTAGAGTACCCACCTTGAGGTGCTTCCGGGGCTTAGCGTCCCCGCGGCCCGGTCGTCGACCAGGCCTCCTGCCCTCCCACTCCACAACCTGTGGAAGAGTGCACAACCTTTTCCTCCATCCTTCTTTTCTCCATGTTCCTTCTCTCGTCCCTCCATCCTCCTCCCTCTTCTCTCCATCCTCCTCAATCTTCTCTTCTCCGTGGACAAGTCCCGCCTCCTGTGATGACGTCAGATGTGACAATACGTGTCTGTTACCAGAATATTCCTGTGACAGTAATGTTATGTGGGTGGTGGTGGTGTTGTGTGGGTGGTGGTGGTGTTGTGTGGGTGGTGGTGTTGTGTGGGTGGTGGTGGTGTTGTGTGGGTGGTGGTGGTGTTGTGTGGGTGGTGGTGGTGTTGTGTGGGTGGTGATGGTGTTGTGTGGGTGGTGGTGGTGTTACGTGGGTGGTGGTGGTGTTGTGTGGGTGGTGATGGTGTTGTGTGGGTGGTGATGGTGTTGTGTGGGTGGTGGTGGTGTTGTGTGGGAGGTGGTGGTGTTACGTGGGTGGTGGTGGTGTTGTGTGGGTGGTGGTGGTGTTGTGTGTGGTGGTGGTGGTGTTACGTGGGTGGTGGTGGTGTTGTGTGGGTGGTGGTGGTGTTGTGTGGGTGGTGATGGTGTTGTGTGGGTGGTGGTGGTGTTACGTGGGTGGTGGTGGTGTTGTGTGGGTGGTGGTGGTGTTGTGTGGGTGGTGGTGGTGTTGTGTGGTGGTGGTGGTGGTGTTGTGTGGGTGGTGGTGGTGTTGTGTGGGTGGTGGTGGTGTTGTGTGGGTGGTGGTGGAGTTGTGTGGGTGGTGGTGGTGTTGTGTGGGTGGTGGTGGTGTTGTGTGGGTGGTGGTGGTGTTGTGTGGGTGGTGGTGGTGTTGTGTGGGTGGTGATGGTGTTGTGTGGGTGGTGGTGGTGTTACGTGGGTGGTGGTGGTGTTGTGTGGGTGGTGGTGGTGTTGTGTGGGTGGTGGTGGTGTTGTGTGGGTGGTGGTGGTGTTGTGTGGGTGGTGGTGGTGTTGTGTGGGTGGTGGTGGTGTTACGTGGGTGGTGGTGGTGTTGCGTGGGTGGTGGTGTTGTGTGGGTGGTGATGGTGTTGTGTGGGTGGTGGTGGTGTTACGTGGGTGGTGGTGGTGTTACGTGGGTGGTGGTGGTGTTGTGTGGGTGGTGGTGGTGTTGTGTGGGTGGTGGTGGTGTTGTGTGGGTGGTGGTGGTGTTGTGTGGGTGGTGGTGGTGTTGTGTGGGTGGTGGTGGTGTTGTGTGGGTGGTGGTGGTGTTGTGTGGGTGGTGGTGGTGTTGAGTGGGTGGTGGTGGTGTTGTGTGGGTGGTGGTGGTGTTGTGTGGGTGGTGGTGGTGTTGTGTGGGTGGTGGTGGTGTTACGTGGGTGGTGGTGGTGTTGCGTGAGTGGTGATGGTGTTGTGTGGGTGGTGATGGTGATACGTGGGTGGTGATGGTGTTACGTGGGTGGTGGTGGTGTTGCGTGAGTGGTGATGGTGTTGTGTGAGTGGTGGTGGTGTTACGTGGGTGGTGGTGGTGTTACGTGGGTGGTGGTGGTGTTGTGTGGGTGGTGATGGTGTTACGTGGGTGGTGGTGGTGTTACGTGGGTGGTGGTGGTGTTGCGTGAGTGGTGATGGTGTTGTGTGAGTGGTGGTGGTGTTACGTGGGTGGTGGTGGTGTTACGTGGGTGGTGGTGGTGTTGTGTGGGTGGTGATGGTGTTGTGTGGGTGGTGATGGTGATACGTGGGTGGTGGTGGTGTTGTGTGGGTGGTGGTGTTACGTGGGTGGTGATGGTGTTGTGTGGGTGGTGGTGGTGTTACGTGGGTGGTGGTGGTGTTGTGTGGGTGGTGGTGGTGTTGTGTGGGTGGTGGTGGTGTTGTGTGGGTGGTGATGGTGTTGTGTGGGTGGTGGTGGTGTTGTGTGGGTGGTGATGGTGTTACGTGGGTGGTGGTGGTGTTGTGTGGGTGGTGGTGGTGTTACGTGGGTGGTGGTGGTGTTGTGTGGGTGGTGGTGGTGTTGTGTGGGTGGTGATGGTGTTGTGTGGGTGGTGATGGTGTTGTGTGGGTGGTGGTGGTGTTGTGTGTGGGTGGTGGTGGTGTTACGTGGGTGGTGGTGGTGTTGTGTGGGTGGTGGTGGTGTTGTGTGGGTGGTGGTGGTGTTGTGTGGGTGGTGATGGTGTTGTGTGGGTGGTGGTGGTGTTGTGTGGGTGGTGGTGGTGTTACGTGGGTGGTGGTGGTGTTGTGTGGGTGGTGATGGTGTTACGTGGGTGGTGGTGGTGTTGCGTGGGTGGTGGTGGTGTTGTGTGGGTGGTGATGGTGTTGTGTGGGTGGTGGTGGTGTTGTGTGGGTGGTGGTGGTGTTACGTGGGTGGTGGTGGTGTTGTGTGGGTGGTGGTGGTGTTGTGTGGGTGGTGGTGGTGTTGTGTGGGTGGTGATGGTGTTGTGTGGGTGGTGGTGGTGTTGTGTGGGTGGTGGTGGTGTTGCGTGGGTGGTGATGGTGTTGTGTGGGTGGTGATGGTGTTACGTGGGTGGTGTTGTGTCTCAATCACTATCTCAGTCAATCTCATATCCCTTTCTTGGGTATTCCTTGTGTCCCATTCTTTTTCTTCGTGGTTGACGTCTCCAGTGATTATCAGTCTCGCCTTCGGAAAGTGGGCCATTTTAGCTACCCTTACCCCCCTCCCCCCCTCGCTCCATAGGATTATTTGAATGCTATGGAGCTTTACTTGGATCCTTAAACTCCTGTCTAGGTTTCCTGTTATCTAATGAGAGGTTGGATATGACTGCTTCC